TTATTTTATTACATAAGGGAAAATCCCTTTATGCATTGTTTAGAGGCAAAGAACAAGTCAACATGAAACATATTTAAGTTTGATTCATTCCAACAGCCAGAAACTGAAGTCTCCCCAGTGGCCACTATTGGCTAACATGCCTTCACCTGCTGTTAGCATTCCATTGACTCCCATTCATTTTGACAGAGAATAACTTTACATCTGAGGCGTTTAAAGACCCCATTTGTCCATTGTTTATTTCTAAAGAAACAAGACAATGTATAAAATGCTCCATTATCTTGTCGTTATGACGATTGCGTCATAACACGCGACTCTCTGTCGCATAGTTGAGAAATTAACGTATAGACAGAAGTAGAAGCTTGCACACAATCGGGGGGATGTGGAGGCATAAAGTCAAGGAGAAGCCCATAGAGAGTCATAAATTTGCTCCTGCTGTATTGAATGCTAATACTCACGATCTCCGTCTCTGCAAGATTCGGAAGGGAATGATTCAGATTCCTCTTGTCATGGCTACAAAAGACATACAACTGTGAGACAGGTTGCTCACGTCACATCTACAACATCAAGCTCAGTTTGAGCCAGCGCAGTGCGCTTGGCAATCAGGAAGTGCTTCTAATTGACATTATTTTTCTCCGTTGAAGTCTATGGGGTCGCTGTGTCCATTTCTTTTACCGTCTATGCTTGGAACCACAATGAGACTAATTGAACATGTAAAAATACAGAACCTCTTTCAATCGGATATGCATGGTTGCTTCTGTGAAAAACACTAATCGAAATGAAATCTGCTGACCACAAGGAATTCTGGTGTTAAAAAAAGCCTAGACAGAGCTCAAAGTCCCCAGTAAACTGGAACTGTGTTTCTCTTCAGGCTAAGGAATGTCTCATTCAGCCTCAGGTCAATTCACTTCCTCCTATTGAAACAGTAGCAACATCCCCATTTAAACCCCTAACCTTGAGCTTCCTGTTGACAGAATGGAAATCCCATGGATCCAACACAGCTGGCCAGTTGAGAATGTTTCTTTCTGCTCGTGCTGGGATGATTACACACCGGAGACTTGACAAAAATGAGTCTCTGTGTGACTGTGAGATGTGTGCTTCAAGTCCAAATAGTATTAGCCCCTCAGCTAAGAAGAAAAAAAAATCTACTTCACAAACCTAATTGTTTTTCATCATTGTCCCCGATTACCTGCCATGAACACCAAGGTGACCAAAATGTGCTTTCAATTGCGCCACCCCTGCCCTTTCACAGCATGTTTCAGCATGTGTGTGTAATCGGTTAGCAAAGCACAAATCTGTGCAGTCATTAAAAGTTCAGGCGTGCTGGTCCAAGCCTCTGCAGCTATGTTTCTGAAGGTTTAAACACAGGACATGAGCCGAAGATTAGTATGGGTCTGGGAGGAAGCCGGGGCTGACGTTACGGAAATTACTGCAGGGCTGGAGCTGCTTGATTAGGACTGAAGTGATGGGATTAACAGGCCTCTCCATTTTGGAAAGGTGTAGGAGGGGAGAACGACTTTGAAGCTGGCATTACTAATCACGGTGGGTGTGGTACTCTGTATACCATACATGGGTTTGTGATATCAGATATGAAAAATTAAACATGATACATTCCGCATGACTAATTCCGCTAGCATGTCACTGCTGTCGTGCCTAACAGCCTTTCCTATGTGAATCTCACACCCGAACGCAGTCAGTGGAGAATGGAAGCACTCAATATATCAGTTCTTATATTTTGATTCTGATGATACAAAGCACAGTTAATATTTTGTGAAATGCCATGTTGCATTTGAAATCATATTTGCGAAATCACACTTTTTTTCTGGCTTCCCGCCATGAGGCAATTACCCACCCTTGAATATGCTTCCCACATTTGTTATTGAAAAAGGTATGAAGGGCAAGTAGGCCCATGATGAAACTCTCTGGCAATTTTGACTCTCTCAAGTCCTTAAACCTGAAGGGAATATGTTCCGGGAATTAATGAATTCAACATGTGAGTGCAAGGAAAGCGACATGAAAGTATCGCCCGGGTCTGTTTTCTCTTACAACTGCGGCTGCATTCTTATTTTGTAGCTCTCTGCTCCGGGTCGTCTCTTCACACATCTTAATATCAAAAATAATGCACTAACTGGCTGTTGGATGTTGCATTGCCAGTGCAGGCTCTGTTTGTCTAGCTGCCTCTTTGAATGTGGTGAGAAAATTAGCATTAATATGCTTCCTAAAAAGAAAATTAGCAACCGGCTTTGATATGTCTATGTATTTATTTCTTTGGTATTGCATTAGACAAAAAGTTTGGAATCTCTAATACTGACAACTTATTACTACAATACTGATTCCATTGTTCCCAAATACAAAGAAATCAAAAGCCATTTTTAAACTTCAGACGCCATCAAAAGCAAAAACATTTTTAACTTGAATGAGTTTTGATGCTATTGTGTTCTTCATGCTGCATAATTTAGCTGAAGTCAAACAGCCGGATACATTCGATGCATACTCCTCGGGCTCTTCTCATTAGCTTTTGAAGGGGTTCTTTGTGTTTCATTATTAAAACAAATTTTCACTGGTATGACCATAACACAATTATTCTGAGACATGTTGCCAAAGCTAAAAATTACAGACTTTTATACTTTCATTGCTTCATCCCCATTGTGGCACCAAATCATTTGGGCTCGGTATGAAAGCCTGATTACTTTAAAGGGGTCCATTTTCAGTAAGACTAAAGTGGAAGGAGGGTGATTCCAGCACATGCCTCACCATGCCAAACCATGCCCCAGGGTGAATTTAGGATCCCATTAAGTGAACATTAATGTCTCATTAAGATCAGTCCAAACGCCTCAAACATTCTGTACATCAGCTTTCTCGGAGGGCCTCGATGCGCTTGGCTGCTCACCCAGGGCAAATGAGAGATGACAAGAGCCCTGCTATTTTTAAAGCACACACTTCACAAGGCATCGACTGTCTCATGCAGTCTCATGCAAGAATCTCTGCTGGACAGCGGCAGGGTTAAACACCACAGCCGTGCCTGTAGGAGGCATAAGGAAAGGTCTCAGATGATAATGAGGAACATAAAGTTCATTTTAACTTCTGGAATGAGAAATCCACAGCTGAAAAGCTTTAAGTCAGCTTCTTGTCCATTTAAATAGATATAAATAGATAGACAGTTTCTGGTCTCATTGACTTCCATAGTAGGCTATATATTTATTTATTTATTTATTTATTTCCAGAAACTGTCTGGTTACTGATATTCTTCCAAATGTCAGAAAATCGTTTGAATACATTCGAAAACGGTAAAACTCAACTGTTTAAAAAATGAGCCTATTTCCAAATAAGGTGGAGTATGCCTTTAATTATTTGTATAGAAAGATATATTTTATATATTTCAGATGACCTCGAAGGTTATTACTAAAACACTTGAATGAGTCATGTTCAACCAACTCTCTACATTTCTTATTCTAAATCATCAGTACTCATCTTGCTGGATCTGTCTCCTGCTTTTGACACAGTTAACCACCAGATCCTTCTGTCAACGCTCATGACGAAGGGCATCTCAGGATCTTACCTATTTCAGGGTGTCGTGGAGTCAGGCCCTTTGTAAGTCACGTTGGATAAAAGTGTCTGCTAAATGATTAAATGTAAATAATTTCATAGAGAGTACATTATGATTTTAAATGCCCACAGGTGTGTTATTTTTTCTTAGTCATCTTTTCCTGTGTAGGGTTAATGAGTGGAGCATCCTGGATATGCGGCCATTCCATCACGAAGGTACTTGTTATTATTGAAGTTCATAAAATAATTGCTACATGTAACCTGCGGATATATTTCTTAAAATATGACATCTGAGCAATGTTCTGTATAGCACTGAATGTCTACGGTGACAAAAGCGTAAAGAAAATATCTTCAATTAAAAAAAAAAAAAAACAAGGTATGTGGGGAGAGTTGACCTTGACCATTTCTGTAAGACATTCAATGAGCATAGAATTCTTGCCTCAGTCTCCAAACAATCATGTAACCTTTTATATGTCTAACTTTCCACGGTATCATCTGAATTGAACAGGTATCACAGAACGAAGTGTTTCTTTAGTCATGTTAGTAATTTTCCACTTCATGCCATTTTAAATTTTGAAACAGTTTTATTTCCGGACTATGGGGTGAAACTCTTTCTTCTCATTATTATAATCAAAATTGTTGTCATGCTTGTTTGTTACATTAAAATAAAAGCAAGGTCGTCTAGAATTACACTTCAAAGACAGATAGCAGATTTGAGGTCAATCAAATTTTAACAATTAGTTCTGCAGGTCAGTCTGAGCGAGGACTGAAAAGGATCAAAAGTCAGACAGACTTTTTCACCTGAGGCCTGTCATGGTGAAGTCTGTCAGCCATGTCTTCCAAATTGAAGGCCAATAGACATATTCGAAGAAATAAGAATATCCTCACAAAAGCCAAGGAGCAGACAAACAAACAAAAGCAAATGTCAAGCAGGGCTGCACTTCAGAAATTGCCTCTCTGTCTAAGCACCCAGGGGTATTTATCTTAGGTCCCCTGTCAAAACGACTCGGCCATTCCTTGCAACTAATCCCACTAAACTGACTCTCTCCACTTAGATCAATGGGGCACGACGCTAAGCGCTTCTGACAGATACATACATCCGCAGCACGCCCCAGTCCCTAAACTCTACCCTCCTCTGAATGCACGAGTAGACCCCCGGTCCTCCGCCCCTTTCTCACTTACTCGTTTAGACAAGATCACAGATTCAGATATGACAGTCACAGCCTCTGAAAAATGTAATATCACTCTGAGGAAAATCTCTGAGGATTACTATAACTCCATTAACCTGTTTATCATGCTCTTTATTCTATAGGTTTGAATAATGAATCACTTTTGGTTTCCTCTCAGCTCAGTGAGCGAGCTGAAACTTAATGATCTCCCACCTCCGACCCCCTCAGTATCTCTCTCTGCACTCGCTCCCCATCTCTCTTTCTCTCTCTCTCTCTCTCTATCCTTCA